AGTGACGGGCAGGCCGAGGAATGATGGGTGGGGCCGGGGAATGATGGGTGGGGCTGGGGAGTGACGGGCAGGCCGAGGAATGATGGGTGGGGCCGGGGAATGATGGGTGGGGCTGGGGAGTGACGGGCAGGCCGAGGAATGATGGGTGGGGCCGGGGAATGATGCAAGCAGCCGGGGAGCGAGGGGTGGGGCAGGAGAGTGATGGGCGGGGCTGGGGAGTGACGGGCAGGCCGAGGAATGATGGGTGGTGCCGGGGAGTGGTGTTCGGGGCTGTGAGAGGTGGGCGGGGCAGGGGAGTGGCCTCTACATTTCCTTTATCACTAGTCAGTATTTAAATTTAAAGGGAGTGTCTTTAATAGAGGTGTCATTGGTGAATGTTTAAGTGAAGGGAATGATCTTGGTCACAGTTGTGATAAGTTCAGTTTGTTCACAGAGTGATTTTTCATTCACTTTGTTTACTGAGTGATTCTTCATTCTCTGTTCATAGAGTGATTTTTCATTCACTTTGTTTACTGAGTGATTCTTCATTCTCTGTTCATAGAGTGATTTTTCATTCACTTCTGAGTGATTCTTCATTCACTTTGTTTGCTGAGTAATTCTTTTTGCATTTTGCTTTTCTGCCCATTGTTGTATTGATGTCCCGAAGAGTATATATGCAAATTTAATTTAGTTGAGTATAATATCAAATGACATAAAATATATACTAAAAAGAATAACTAACTCTGAGTATTGATTAAAGTCTAAATATTGGCTGGCAATATTGGCCAAGATTGACACATGGGACAGATGCCAATACCTTCGTTTTTAATGAATGTCAGCCAATACCGATACGTTAATCAATATTCTGTGCGTCCCTAACATTAACATTAAACTTAAAATGAACCACCTCTCAAAAAGAATAATATCCTCAGGAGCCCCCCCTTGGTGTGCGTGTTAGGGATGGGCATACGAGGCGGAATTACTAGTTAACATTCGTTATTCAAATAATTTCCGACTAACCCCATCCCTGCTCCACTTGAAATGTCTGTGGAATATGGATGAAAATGTTCATTTCTTTCCATACAAAATGAAATATTACTTGTTGAAACAAAATGATGACGGAAGAGTTTAAAAAGTAGTTTGAATAAATTGAAACTGATATTTAACTGAAGAGAGCTCAAATACAGTACCATACAATGAACTTTAATAGCCATATGGCAAGTGTTCATTTCTGTATTTTTGTTTGAAAAATTGCCAAATAGATCTTATCTGCCAATAGAACCTGCCTTTATTGAGTAAGGCAAATCAGTAGTTTACATTATGCTTAACACACCAAAAAGTATCTATTGGTACATCGACCACTCTCTCTTAACTTAACATTTTATTATGAATGAATTTCACAGACCATGAATTTCAACATCTGAATGTACCGACTGTGTGAGCAAGGAGGAGTGTGATTCTGTTTGGCTGGGGAGTGTTAGCAGAGCTCACGAAAACAGAGCTGAGTGAACTCTGAACAAATAAACAGCAAGCATTGGAGCAGTCATCAAAGGATAAATTAATCATATTGCTTGTAATTAATATTTAAAATAGCTAATTTATTATTCAATTTTATACACTTGAGTATTTAAATATTCAACAATGAAGGATTTAGAACAAATCTTTTGGTTGAACAAATGCTAAACAGTGTGCTGAAAATTTTCATGATCAATATCTCAAGCTGAAGTAAAGTGCTCCCTCTTGTGGTTGAATATGAAAGTGGCCACTGAAGGGTTCTCTGAAGATGAAGATGTCGATATGCACCCCCCTCCCCCCCCTCCTCCCTCAGGATGGTACAGTGCAGTGCGTGACGGTCCAGTGCCCACGTGTGTCCTGCCCCAGCCCTCTGACTCCTCCAGGGCAGTGCTGCCCCCGGTGCCCAGGTACCCTCTCTGTACCCCCTGTGCAAAACCGCCCATCATTAACTTAAACCAGGCTGACCTGCACTGCTTCAGAGAACTGGCTCAGTGCTGTGAATGAAGCTCCGCAGTGTCCCACACAGCAAACCTTCATCCATTTTCTGTTAACTGTGAGCAGAGAAAGTGAATCTGTAATTCTGTCAGATGTGTAGCAGAACAGTTTGAATTCTAAGGTTTGTGTGTTTCTGTCTTTAAGGCAGGTAGATAAGTATAAAAGTAAATGGCCTGTTAATAAGCTCTTGTAGCACAGCACTGTGGTTACAAACCATCCTGAATCACCTGGCTGGGAGAAAGCAGTAATTACCCCTGAGTTACGGTCAAACAGGGGCGTACCTCACTCAGACCCAACAGGGATTTAATTCCATGATGTGGGGTTTGTTTCCCTGTGAGACAATATTTATCAGATTTTATGTGATATTTTTCATTTTTTATATCATGTACGTGTACAGTGTGTCCTTTAGAGCGTGTGGGGGGTGGGTTTGTCTTTGGGGAGTTTAACTCCTGATGAAGATATTGCAGGGACGGCATAACAGAAAATGTTTCCCTGGCTTTTTCTTCCTATCTTACTGTGCCGCTTGTTCTCTTCTGAAATGGTTCTGGGAGCTGTTAGCTCTGTTAAAGGCGCGCTGTCACACTCGTTTTGTTTGTGTGCATGTGGTAGGCTGTGCCTTTGAGAACCACATGTTTATGGATGGAGAGCGGTTCCCCAGTCCTGTGAACCCATGTCAGGAGTGCGTGTGTCATGGGGGGCGCCTGGACTGCGTGGACACCCCCTGCCCACGGCCGGGCTGCAGCTCCCCGCTGCCTGGAACATGCTGCCAGAACAACTGTAATGGTAAAGGCGCGGCCCACGCTCCTGCACACGCATGTACTGTGTCTGATCTGACATCACAGATCTGACCCACGAATCATTACTTGAAACTGAATCATGTTCCATTCTGCCTCTGGCTTCTCTGTTTTCTGAGGCACAGACCTTTTCTGACACAGACCTTGCGATAACACAGTTGTAATGCAACTCCAGGCCCAGAATAATGGCATCTCTGACTTTCAGGTTGCAGCTATGCGGGAAAGGAATACCCAAATGGAATGGAGTTTGCTCACCCTACGGACCACTGCCGCTCCTGCCACTGTCTCGTGAGTAATCATTCAGAGAGAATCACAGACAAGCAAAAAGACAGGCTGGCAGGGAAACAGACAGATAGGCAAAGAGATAAGCAGGCAGACAGACATACAGAGAGGTAAACAGACAGGCAAAAAGACAGGCTGGCAGGGAAACAGACAGATAGGCAAAGAGATAAGCAGGCAGACAGACATACAGAGAGGTAAACAGACAGGCATCTTATCCAAAAATGTAAAAAGTGCTAACGTAAAAAACAAAGTGCTGAGATGATGGACTCCTGACCAAAACACAATGTAATTTAGACTGTGATGGACCCTCCCTTTGGTTGGCCAGATTTGTAACTCAGTTCCCCTAGTACAGATGGTATACATGGTATGGTATAAACACTTGGTATATACAGCACCATATAGTAAAAGAGATCTGGTTGTGTATGGGAATCTCTGTATCAATGAAACAGCAGTTTACTCCTGAATTTCACAGATGGGTGATAATGTTAATGCTGATTGTCACTGAAATGGCCAACGGGACCATTAGTGGTAATCCGTACCTTGGACACAGACCAGGTTGTGTTTCTGCAGAACGGTAATGTGCAGTGCTTGATGAAGAGGTGCGCCCCACAGCAGTGCAGCAATCCCTACATGACCCCTGGAGAGTGCTGCCCCAAGTGTCCAGGTGTGGAACTGCAGACATCAGGGAGTTTTGTTTGTTTGCAGCATGAAGTTAAAGTGTTGAGACATACAGACAGACACACACAAAAGGGGTGTCACTGTCATTACGAGCTCTCTGTTATATGCCAGTCTGTGTGCGATACTGACCGTGTGTGTGGTAGTGAATGTGTTTTATTGACCATGTGTTATATTGACCATATGTGTCTGTACTCATCTGTGTGTGTTACTGACCGTGTGTGAGTGACCAGGTGTGAGTGACAGTGTGAGTCTGACCATGTCTTTGACTATCCATATGTGATGTAACTGTGTGTTACTGACTGTGTCTGTGAATGACCTTGTCTGTGACTGTCTGTGTGTGAGTTGACCGTGTGTTACTCACCGTATCTGTGAGTCACCGTGTCTGTGAGTGACTGTGTGTGTTCTTTTTCATGCCCTCAGAGCTGCCACCCCCCTGCCAGCTCTCAGGGCGCCCCCACCTGCACGGTGAGCGCTTCTACGACCCGGCTGACGCATGCCGCATCTGTATCTGCACCAATGGCTACATCAGCTGCCGTCACAAGCTCTGCAGCCCCGCCCACTGCAGCCATCCTATCCTGCAGGACTGCTGTCCCACATGCGATGGTACAGAGCCCCCATTGGGCGTCGCGGGAGATAAATCACCTGTTTATACACTGTGCAGTTAAGACTCTGCACATGTCGGGTTGTCCCAGTGCATGCTGGGCCGTCTTCACAGCATGCTTTCAAAGCTCCACACTGCTGTGTCCTCCCAGCACTTTTAACTGGGTATCAGGTTTATTTCCAATGCAGCCATTATAACAAGCACAGAAAGGCACGTCCTCTTCCTGCTTTTATTTACACACGCATCTCCCTTCATACATTATTCATGAGCTGCTTATCGATTAGCCATCTATGAAAATTTTATTAAGTTTTAGATGTTTCAATGATCTGAATGCCGTGGCAGCCCAAGGAGACTGTCTGAAGTTCAACATTTTACTGTGATTCATCTCCCCCCCCCTTTGCTTTTTCTCTCAACCCCCTCCCCCACCTTCAGGCTGCTCCTTGGGTGGGGCGGAGCTCACCAACGGCGAGGTGTTCCCTGATGCCTCGGACCCATGCCGAGACTGTGTGTGCCGCGAGGGCACGGTGACCTGTGAGTCCCGGCGCTGCCCCCCCGTGGCCTGCCCCTACCCTGTGGGGGGGCACTGCTGCCAGGCTTGTGATGGTGAGCCCCCCCACCCCCAACCCTAAGGATCCTAAGGGGGTTTGGTCACTGGGGAGTTGGGGGTAGCTCCTTTGACCTTTCCCCCCTCCCCCCAGGGTGCAGCTACATTGGGACAGAGTACCTTGACGGACAGGAATTCCCTGACCCACGCGATCCTTGCAGCCGCTGCATGTGCGCCGCGGGTCACGTGACCTGCAGCCCCAAACCGTGTTACAGTGCCAGCTGTGCCCACCCTGTGACCCCACAGGGGGCGTGCTGTCCCACGTGCGAGGGTACGTCCGCGACATACTAGCTTCCCTTTGCTGTTCCGGGCATCAAGTATGTTGGAGGGGGGGGACCCTGAGCCGGTGTCTTTCCCTGATAGGCTGCCTCTATGGGGGTGTGACGTTCACTGATGGACAGTCATTCCCAGATCCTGGGCAGCAGTGCTCCGAGTGTGTTTGCAGGGTGAGTGCATTACAACCAGGATCGGTTTTGATTGGCGTCACAGAGGGACCAATCAGCTTTGCCTGCTCCGCTCAGCTAACCCCCTGAGAACCTTGTCCCCACAGGCTGGGACGGTGCAGTGTGTGAGGAGGGCGTGTCCGCCAGCCCTGTGCCCTCACCCTGCCCCTGCATCATGTGACTGCCCTGTCTGTGACGGTATGGCCCCGTTGCCTGTGTCTTGTGTCCTCTTGAGGTCATGTCTGGGGACCTCCAGGCTCACGGGTTCGTTTTAATGCTACTTGATGCAAGTTGGCTCTTTTGCAGGATGCTTTTTCCAAGGTCGTACCCTTTTGGATGGTGAAAGCTTCCCTGGGCCAAAAAGTGACTGTGAGGAGTGTAGATGCTCAGTGAGTTCATGTCTCTGCCTGTCCACCTCTGTATCCCTGTCTGTCTCTGCCTGTCCACCTCTGTATCCCTGTCTGTCTCTGCCTGTCCACCTCTGCATCCCTGTCTGTCTCTGGGCTGTAATGCTTTTTCCATATAGACATTTATTAGCAACGATTGCATTCATTATAGAAGAAGCTTCCGGACTTGGATTGGTTGGGATTTGATGTGTGTGTGTGTCTGTGTGCTCCAGAAAGGGGAGGTGACCTGCGGTTGGAGACCGTGCCCCAAGGCGAGCTGCCCTCACCCTGAAACTGGCCCCTGCTCCTGCCCCCTGTGTGGGGGCTGCAGTTTTCACGGCCGCTCCTGCTCCAATGGTGAACGATTCCCACACCCTGAGGACAAGTGTCAGCTCTGTGTCTGTCTGGTAGGCATTTGTTTCTGTGATTCTCCTGCTGAAATGTAAATCTTGTCAATTCATAAGTACATTTACTGTCAGATGCATTTCCTCTGATAAAAATGTAATAGTTTCAAGATATTTTTTGCGTTCTGTGGCTGTGGTCTTCAGAACGGCGGTGTCTCTTGCATGCCGGTGTCCTGCCCCCCCGTGCCCTGCCGCGACGTGGCCCCCCCGCCCGGTGAGTGCTGCCCGGTCTGCCTGGGCTCCTGCCTCCACCTGGGCCAGCTGTATGAAAGCGGCTCCACCTTCGAGTCCCTTGCTGACGGCTGCTCCTCCTGCACCTGCCTGGTCAGTGTGGCCACCAGGGGTCACCTTGCAACCTACAGAGCAAATCCCTACCTGTCTGTCTGTGTCTGTCTGTCTATCTGTGTCAACTCAGGCCTGTGTCTGTCCGTGTGTCTGCCTGTGCCTGTCCATGTGTGTTTATTCAGGCCTGTGTCTGTCCGTGTGTCTGCCTGTGCCTGTCCATGTGTGTTTATTCAGGCCTGTGTCTGTCCGTGTGTCTGCCTGTGCC